AGAACAATGATAATATAAATAAAAAACAACCTTCCCCCAAAAAGAAGCATTGGTGGTCTCCAAAAATGAAATGGAAGGATGAATCCTTTCACACAATTCTAACTATTGAATGGTTTCTTTAGCAAAAAATAAAACCACAGAATTTTGCACCAGAATAAAGGTAAAATATTCTGAGCATTTGCATAGTAATACTAATATTGTGAATAAACTATTTAATGTTCTTGTATTTATTCCCAATGTTGGAAACATAATTAAGCTTAATCATTTTTTGGTATAACTTTGGAATTAATATAATAAAATTCAATAAATACCCACATTGTTTTATTGTTATTTTTGCCCAGTTTTTTTCTCTTTGGCATGAATATTTTTAACTCTTAAACAGACAGTAAATTACTTGAAAACAAATTTTGATTTGAGAAGCCAAATTGTGAAAAGTCATTTTGTCACAGGAAGAAGGGATCCTTATGTTACAACTTCATTGTGATGAATAAACCAAAGGAGGCATATCAGCTTCAGGCGTGTCAGCTTCAGGCCTTGAAACAACTACTCCCGTTTTTTCTTCGTTCCAGGTTTAGCAAACTTCTGGTAACACAACAGACAACATCTTGTGATGACAAATGTAGCACTTGCCACACAGGCCAGCAGGAACCCAATCACATCCAAAGAGTGGTACTGGACCCAGGTGAGGTCATAGGAGGCTGGCCGCAAGTGTTTGGCTCCTTTGTGGCGCATGACAACCTCGATCCAGAAGACCACTCGATCCAGAGGTTTCATGGGCTGGTCATGATGAATTCTTGATAATCTCATTGCATTCTCCTTATATCTGAAGGAGAAACACAAAGATTACACATTGAATGAAAGTTAACTTACCTAAGCATATCATGCCCATGAAAGGTTTTTGAAAATGTCATAAATATGATTCAAAATAATATCATTCATTGAATTTATTTCTTCATAGATAGTTTGGCCTTTAAATTGGGATTTTCTGACATGTAGTTTTAAAAGTGAAGATGGAAGTTAAGTTGGACAGTTCAGTCTTTTCTAGCAGAGTAAATGGTAGGAGCCATTGTTAGTGCTATAGAGGAGATGGTGGAAATTCACTTGCAGAGTGATGCTCATGAAGGGTTTAATGGGAGTGGTGTCATTGTGAGTGAAATGTCTCCCCAGCAGTCCCTGGACCTCCACTCTTCTCTTTGACCCTCTACTTTTTAATTACCATCAGTTAGCCAGTATGGTTTTTGAAACAGATATCAGATATGACATTTCCCTGCTTAAAATTTCCATTTGACTTCTCATCACATTTGAATAAAGTCCAAATGATTTTAGCACTAAAGGACTCCACATAGTCATACCTCTGGCAACCTCTTCTTTCACTTGGTCTCATGCACACTGTATTGAAGGCACACTGGCCTTCTAGCTGTTCCTTGAAGTTTTCTGACAGGTTTTTGTTTGTTTGTTTTCAATTGCAAGTGCATTCCCTAAGCCTCCATTGCTGAGGTTTCCATTTCAAAGAGGCATTTACTTTCAAGAGGACTATCTTTGTCAGCCACTTGACTAGATAAAGAGCTAGGCTGCCTCCCTCCAGTGAGGTTCCTTTGTTTTAAAGATTTAGTTCACTGGCTATTTGGACTACTTTTTTTCTTCTCATTCCTGCACTTTAAGTTCTGCTCTTATATTTTACATTCATGAATAAAGAGTGAGTTTGCCAAACTCTTGGCCTTCATTCCAATAAAAGCAGTGTGTGTGTGCTTTGCTCTCTTTCTCTTTCTCTCTACCTGTGACTGTTTTCTGTCCCCAGGTGTTCTATGTAATTTCCGGGTTTCTAAAGTAATAAACTTTTATTTTTAAAACGTTTTTTTATGGTTATTGCTGAAGGACATCTTGCAATCATAATAGGAACCTCAAGGGCTGATCCAGACACCACATTGGTTATTGAGAGGCTGAGACCAGCACAAAACAATATCAAACAGGTTACATTTAAAATGTTGTTCTTTAAAACTTTTAGGTACTTATCCATTATTTTGGGGATCAAGCTCACAAGCAAGATATGCATATATTTTTTTCTTTATCCACTTTGCTTTGATTATTTTGAGTTTTTGTTAGTAGTTGTTACCAATTGATAATTGGTATTGTTTTCAAAAATTGATATATTAATTATTATGAAATATTTGTTTTTAGCAGGCTTTTGGACTACTGTCTCTGATATTAGCTTAAGTAAAACATCTCTCTAGGTTACTGTTTTTTTTCCCTTTTTTTTTTTTTAACAAACGCTTCAATTTTCATAGAAACGTCGGTTTATTTCTCTTTTCTTTTTTATTATATGTTTTATTGATTTTTTTTTTTACAGAGAGGAATGGAGAGGGATAGAGAGTTAGAAACATCGATGAGAGAGAAACATGGACCAGCTGCCTCCTGCACACTCCCTACTGGGTGTGTGCCTGCAACCAAGTTATATGCCCTTGACCAGAATCACACCTGGGAACCTTCAGTCCTCAGGCCTATGCTCTATCCACTGAGTCAAACGGGTTAGGGCTCTCTAGGTTACTGTTTAACTAGATCTTTTCCTATCTCTTTACTTACAATCTTCTTGTGTACCACTATTTAAACATTTCTTATAAAAAGTATGTTAGTTAGTTTTGTTTTTCTTTTAAAATATATTTTATTGATTTTTTACAGAGAGCAATGGAGAGGGATAGAGAGAAACATTGAAGAGAGGAAAACATCCATCAGCTGCCTCCTGCAAACTCCCTACTGGGTATGTGCCCGTAAGCAAGTTACATGCTCTTGACTGGAATCGAACCTGGGTCCCTTGAGTCCACAGGCCAATGCTCTATCACTTAGCCAAACCGGTTAGGGCTGTTAGTTTTTAAAATGCAGTCTAACAATCTTTGTCTTTGAACATTGAGTTTGTTTAGATTTGATGTAAGTACTGGCATATTTACATTTGTATCTACCATCTTATTCTATACTAGAGGCCCAGTGCACAAAATGTATGCATGGGTAGGGTCCCTAGCTGCTGCCGGCTACAGGCCAGGGCCTCCTTCATTCCATGCGGCCCCATGGTGGTCACTGCACATCACAGTGAGTGATCAAACTTTTGGTAAGTCAAACTCCTGAGGGGACACTTTGCATATTAGGCTTTTATATATGTAGATGTTCTTTTCTATTTGTCCAACCTGTTTATATATTTTTCCTATTCTGTCATATTTTAAACTATTTTCTTCTCATTCAATTGTTCTACCATTTTATTCTTAATAATACATTTTGGAAGTATTCCTTTATGTGATACTCTATCAATATAATAATAATGAGAATAGTAGTAATAAATATTGAATTGATGGTTGCCATGCTAGGCACTATAAATTGCACTGTACTATTTTCCTCTTTAATATGGAAAATTTCAATATCTTTCTTATCATATTTGAAAAGTTTTATGCTTCAAAGGACATAATCATGATAGTGAAAAATCAACCCATCCAGAATGGGAGAAAATATTAACATATTATATATCTGATAATGTACTTGTATCCATAATACATTAAAAATTCTTTATATCTATAAATATAAAAAGCCAGCGACCAGAAATCAGTGACGACTGGCACAACTGGTCACCAGGATGCCCACTGCGGCTAGCAAAGTGGCCCAATCATGGGGTGGGGCTGGCCAGCCAACCTCCTGCAGCCTCTTCCCCCTGCCCGGCCCCTTCCCAGATCGGCCCCTGCACCCTGATCAAGGGCAAGGGTGCCCAGCCATCTGCCTGTGGCCGTCCCCTGAGCCAGCCCCGCCCCTGATCA